ATTTTAATATATTTTAAAAACAATTTGTATATATATTTAAATAGATAAAATTATACTTGCACATATTAAAAATGAGAGAAACTAATATAAAATGTTGAAGAAAGTCTGGAATACTATCAAATTTCTCTCATTTTATATAACTCTTCCAATTTTATTATATTAAAATATTAGATCTTTCTAATAATAAAATTCAAAAAAAGCGATTTTGCTAATATAGCATTTTTTCTTAATATTCTTTAAAGTTTTGCATTTGTTCTGATTTGTCTCCCCAATTACATTTATAATAATAAGACTGATAAGCAAACAAATATGCTTTTATGGAAATTTATTTAATAAACCATCGCACAATTATATTACACATAATAGCTGCAAATATATTTTCGAGAAATTAGAAGTATATTCGCGGGAGTTGAATTAAATTGATAATAAATTCTTGAATCTGAATTTCGCCGAAAAGAGAATTTATCCTAACAGAAGTATATTATATGATAAGTTCTTGAAAGGACTAATAGTCTTGCTTCCTTCTCAGTGGCGTTTCTTCGCAAAATTAATTCATATATAGCGCACCGATGCAATGTAATCCCGTTTGTGCGAAGGGTCGTAAGTTTTGAAAATAGTCCGTCGCATCTTGTTACTCGTTACTTATTCACTACCGAGTAAAGCCCATTGCATACAAATTTACGTTTAAGTACGTAAGCGCATCGTAAATGACGTGTACGGGTATCTCGACGAATGAAAGAAGCGCATGAGCGAAAAACGTTCTTGTACCAATTATGGAGTTAAACAGCGTACGTATAACTCTATTCTAGATTCGAGAAAAAAATGAGCTTTGAATTCCAAAGACCTTAATAATCTGAACAGAAAAGAAAAAGAAAACCGAAAAGAGGATGACTCTTATCTGTGGTCCTTTGTAATATCCGGATCTTTCGTATGAAATAAAATCAGAAGAGAAACTAAAGTGCTGTAAAATTGTCTTACTTGCTGTTCAACTCTTGAATCTCTTCGTGCGATAATCTTAAATAAAGGTATCGACGCCGGGAGCACAAATCTCTACGGAGACTATCTCTTGCCTCCTACTCACTCTCTCTCTCTCTCTCTCTCTCTCTATCTCTCTCTTCATTCTCCCTTCCCATTTTCCGAACGAAATTTCGACGCTGGGATAAATTTGGAACAACCCGTCTTGCGGATGTAATGCGTTTCTGTCTTAGTTTCGCGTCGAGGAATATGCGAGAATCACGCCTGTATCGTTACGACGAGTTTCGGAAGTCGCATGCGGGTGTTCGCGAAATTTACGCGGTGTTAAAAGGTTCCTCGGGATCGTCCGAGGATCCGAACGACGTTTAGGAAGCGATCGAGAGAGAAGTAAATCTCTCTCGACTTTACGTTGGTTCAGATTAAACCGCACGGCTAGCTTTAAACACGTGTGCCACTTTAAATAACCGTTCACGTTCGTGTGCGCGTTTGGTATTTTTATAATTAATATATAGAACAACTATATTAATGCTTTCGATTCCTAGGTTTTTTATTCTCATATTTCGAGATCGATATTTCTCTAACAAGCATATCGAGTTTCAATAATTAAAATAATTGCGAGCATTAAAATCGGGACAGATATGTGTAACAAATATTGTATTTTATTTTGAATTAATTAATCTTTTAATAATGGAAAATATAATATAAAATTTATATTGGTATAAAATAAATTAATTTAAAGAAGCAAATTTCTTAATTCAAGATGTTCGATTACTTTGAAAAATTCTCATTTTCCAGTCACATGTATGTTAAGTCAAAAGTTATGATATATTTTTAAAGGAAAACAAATTCTTTTTCTCGATATGATATATTGTAAATATTTTTTTTTGACATAAACACGATGTTATAAATATTATGTAATATTATAGAAAAAAATCCCTAATGAATGAATAAATTTTATTCATCCCGTATCTTCGATTCAACGATTAATTCGCGATCGTGATTCGTGCGTAATGAATTTGCCAATAAAGCGAGCAAGCGTTAACGATAACAATGATAACGCACGTCATTCGGTGTATATGGTGCGACACAAAGAGGAATTCAATATCGATCGTTTCACGCCCGTCGATGAGACCAAAGGAAGTGGATAGACATCGAAGAAAGCGTATCGCATGAAATCGAATTCGTCTACGAGAACGGAGACGAGCGACTCGAATGAATACGAAAACAGATTGCTCGATCAGCGTCGCTCGTGATTTCGAGTGACAAAAGATCGCGTCTTGTCAATAAAAATTGATTTACCTGTGTAAAACGCTTTGTTTATAAAAATGCAACGATAATACCAAATATAATTTTTTATTAATAATATACAGGTCCGTCGATAAATGATCGTTTGTCAGTGCTTTTCATAACAATATGATTAATATGAGTCATTTTATAATATAATTTTTTGATATACTCTTCCTCTGTTGTCGATTTTTAATAAAACGTTTTCCGTGAAAATTTTAATCTTAATCCTCTCGATATACAATGCAAAAACTCAATATTTTACAATAACTCGCATATTTTGTGTCTCAAAATTTCACTGAACGCGACCAATATTGTACTTGTGTAAAATCGCTATAATGGCAATTATGAAAAAGTGGGACAAGAGAATGTCAATTTTTTTCGAACAAATTCAATTTCTATTTCTCTCGATACATAAAATATGTTAGTTAAAAAAAAATCTGTCTCACAGAAGCTTCGATATTGCATATTTACTTTAAAAAATATAGATACGTGACGAAAGTAATATTTTTTTTATTTAATTGTTTGTAACATATCAACCGATATTGCAGTTGTAACATGTGCGCGGTTATTTATTTACGGTATAGTTGTTTGATATTATATTCACGATCCAGGAATTTCAGCTGGAAAAATTATTTATCATACTTCTCAATATTTTATAGAAGTAGAATTCTGTTTACCAGAGAAAGAAAGAGAGAAAAAGGAGAGAGAGAGAGAGAGCCGGGAATTCCAATAAATCTACAAATTTTTATTTCCTCAGATTTATAAATATTTTTCCCACGATTAGTTTCATATAAATTTTAAATCAGACTATTCCAAGTTCGTTGATGGTATAAATTTTTTCAAAAATTTCCAATTCTCTTTGTTATAAAAAATTTATATTATTAAAAAAAAAGTCTTTAATCAGAATATATACGGTGGATCTGACAAACCTAATGTCAATATATCCGTCGTGCGGGATCAGAGGAAATCTAATTATCGAGCAATCGAAGCTACAACCGACGAAGGCGACGCGCTCGCTATGTAAATGGGGAATCTAATGAGAGAATACCCGCGATATTCTAACGAGAGAGGATAGAAAATGCCGCGTGCGCGAACGGAAGTGTTCGACCCGATGATGGAGATAGAAAGACCGTCGCGGTGCATCAGATTTCTACGCTTGTTGTGGAAATTCAGCAGATGCGTCTTCTCCCACGTGACGCTCATCTCCTTGGTAGTTGCTTATTGTATGATCGGCGCGTACGCTTTCGAGGCACTGGAAGCGAATCACGAAAAGGAGGTAAATTGCGAGACGTCATTAGCGAATTTGTGAGATATTTCCGTTCACTATATATTCGATCTAATCTCTCGAGAGAGATACGCAAAAGAAATTGAGACATTGACTAGTTATTTATTAATTTCGGATTTTTTTTCATAAATCAAAAAGATTAGAGTTGTATATCTCAGCGTTGAGTATATCTGTGATAATTTCTTAAAGATGTTCTTCTGTTGTGAAAATATTCCCGAGTGATTTCTAATAACAAGTAAAATATTTTTATTTTTTTTTTTAAACTTATAAAAATTTATTTTTAAATCATAATTTTTTTTTAAAATCTGATGAAACATATAATGATATTTTTTTTAAAGATATCTCTCTGTTGTGAAAGAATATATTCTCGCGTTTTAATGACAATATATATTCTTACTTATTATAAATTTATTTTTAAATCCGTAATATATCTCAGAACGGAGAATAAATTTATATCTATACATTTTAAAATTAATTACTTTATTGATCGGTTTACACGTTATATTTTTGCAGAAATTTCTTATTTTCTCACATGTTAATTTCCATTATATTAATTTTTACTATTATCTGGATTAGAGAGAGAGTAATTCAGTGGACTGAATTGGGATATAATAAATGAATTTCACGTCACGTAATTCTGATGCGGATCGAGAGTAAGTTTGCCGGGACAGAAATTAATTCGACAACGGGGGAACAAAAAGGGTACTACAGACAAATAGTCTCCCCCGCATCGAATATTCCGCACTCGTATCGATGAATTATCGACTGGCGTCGTCGTGCGCCGAGCGTCGCAACGCCAAGGATAAAATGCACCCCCGTTCTTCACGAGGCGTTTGCTCTTTGCAGGTGAAGAAGAGCATCAAGAGCATACGTGAAAACGTTTCGGAAAAGCTATGGAAAATCACGAAGAATTTCGACGTGTTGATTCAGGACAATTGGACGAGGAAGGCGTTGGAAGAGCTCAAGGTAACGTTTCCCTCCTCATCGAATGATTTAGATATCTATTTTTAGCTTCCGCGCGCAAAATATTATTTCTTGTATATCGAATCCGATTTATCAGAGGATTGTTTGTTCACGAATAACGCGCGTTTGTCCGTAGAACTTCGAGGAAAGCCTCCAGATAAAAATGAAGATGGAAGGATGGGACGGCGAGGAAGAGGGTAATATACAGTGGACATTCGCCGGCGCTCTGTTCTATTCCATCATCGTAATCACGACAATCGGTGAGTCAATACCTAAAATTAGTCAATCGCGATAGGATATAAAAAAATATTAGCGAACACAAATATTAAAGTAATATATTTTTTTTTAAATCGAGAAACTTTGTTATTCACATTGATATTACTATCGTCGATTAAAGAGAATCCATTCTAAAATGTTTCCAAAGGAATAGCAATGCGCATTTTATTAATTCGAAAGCGGCGCGTTACTAATGTTTGCAATTAACAATAAATTATGCGAAGACAATTATATTCAAATTAATTATCGACGCAAAAGACTCGATTTGCGTCTTTATTTAATTACACGATTGTTCGATGTAAAGGGAGGAAAACCTATATATCTGTCGCATCTTTGGCATCTCCATCGGGAGTGAAGAACGCGATCGATGAAACGATCGAGAATATTATTTATACGATCACCGCTTCTTGATTTCCTCGTCCGTCTTTGGCTTCCCGCTTGCTTCCTGCGTCTGATTCTTGCCCAACGACCGCCCGTAGATCGCATAATCGTCAGGTTCCCCGTCGTAGCCGTATGGCTCGAACTCATTACGATGACCATAAGCGCCGCCATAGGGTCCCGGATAATAGTCACCGGAAGACGGATGCTGGTAGCCACCGCCGTACGGTCTGCGATTGCCGTAATAATTCGTCGGCGCGAAACCGCTCGGTCCGTACTTGTGCGGCGCACCCTGGGAATTAATTATTACTTAGCAGACAATTATGAGAAGAGAGAGAGAAGGAGGATTTCCTATCGCAGGAGAATTCCCGCAATTACACGCAAATAGAGTCCAATTGGGAATCCTCCATAAAGTGATAATAAATTGTACGAGCAAATAGTTTTTGCGCGCTCGATGAATACTTCTTTCTTTTTTAACTTATTTAAGAAGATCGATTAAAAAAAAAAAATAAAGTTGAAATATATATAAGGTGGGTCATTTAACTTTACAATCTAAATTTTTTTTGTTGCGTTTATGTATGTATGTATGAAAAATGTTTAACAAAAGTTTCAGTTTCAGAAAAGAAAATATGATACGTATAACACATTTTTCTGATATACGTTTTTATAATAATTTTACATTATCTCTATTTTTTAAAAAAGAATCATATTTTTTTTATAAAAGTCGATTCTTTTCATCAATCAATAAAAGTATTAATATATATAAAAGTATTATTAATTTTAGGTCATAAAATGTCCCATCTTGCATATGTGCTAAATGTATCGGAAAAAAGTAAATATTAAAATGGATTTAGATTTTCTTTTACGGGATAATATGGATAATTTTGTCCTCCCAACAGTCCTGGGAATCTTTTGCTGTTGAAGCAACAGTACTTTTTGTCCCTCGAGCAGTGGCCCTGAAACAAGATAGCGGGCAAGATTTTGTAAACACTTTCTCTCTTTACCCGAGTCTGTTGGATCGAACTTACGAATTTCAAGCCGGGCGACGGGCAATTGAAGCTGTATCTGCACTTGCAGGTATCAAACTCGCGATAACGGGGATCGTCTCTTATCCAGGGGGGCACCGAATCTAGGATACCATCGGGTCTGTGCGGGTTATAACGCGGCGGTCTGAAATATCAACGATATTATAAACATCTCCTGGTATTCTCTTACATTGGCAAATTAATGGCATTAATGTTCGATGCAGCACATTTTCGGTAGAATATAAATTTCCAATTAGAATCACGAAAAACTGATTTTTTT